CCACCTGTGCCTGCTGATACCTACAACAATCAACTAAGATCCCAGTTGATAGCGCTGTGGTGTGCTTTAAGTGTTCCCCTCTGACAGATAAGTGCTAATCCAACTGATCATCACCTCATTTAAGTGGGTGAAAAGGTGCCAGTAAGAACAATGCAAACTAAGAAAATGAGCTAATCCAATCACGAGCTTAGCTACAAAGTCTCATGCACCTTATAACCAGGATACTTCAAAATATCATAGTCTTCACAAATAAAAATGAGAAAAGTTTTAACACGAACAAGTAACCCGACTAATTCGAAACCAATGTCTGCATAATGCCCATTGAATTGTCATTAGACATATGTAAGTTTGCATGAAATCCCGGTTCCACAAAACAACAAAGTAGTGCCATTTAAACAACATAATCTTAATATTTTTAAGTTATTGGCAATCGAATTATCGCCGACTGCTTTTATCTTGACAAGCAAGCATACTTATTACGTCATTAGATTGCTATATCTTGAGCTGTTAAAGTGCACGTTAAGCCAAACACACTTGGCAGCCTGTCATGTGAAAATGGAATCGTGTTTAGGGTCTAAGAAATGCCATTGACATGGCGCATCCGAGGCCATGAAACCGGAGGTTTAAATCTGCCAGGACTTTTCATCTCCACTCCACGCAAATCTGCTGGTTCGCAATGCCGACTTAGCTTCACTAGAACCAGGACTCCAATTCGATCTTCCACATCCTCTGCAAACACTTCGCCGCCACTCAGGCCTGAGGTATTGTTGGTTCAGTACGGCTTATGCGACGTGGCCTGTCAACTTGGAGCTGAAACACGCCTTCAGTTTCAGGGGGACCGAACTTTCAAACTGATTGGCCCTGCTGGCAAAAGTTCAGACAATGTCTAGATGACTTTTTGTGAAGCCCTTGGCATTTATTATTGGCTGTTGGTAAAGTAGTTTGTGCAGGGACTACTCTAGATTATGATCTCATACCTTGAGCCAATTTCAATAATATGAGACGTCAACAGAAACCGAATCACAATATACACATATAAACTGTCGAGGTGATGCCAACTACTTCATGTCTAAGCACGCGAGACAAGCGGGTTTTAGTTATGTGATTCTGGTAATTAAAATTCGCTGCGTGTGCATTCTGAAACAAACTCATATTAACACAACTTAGGGTTTATTGACCTTGATATTTCCGTTAGTAGCAGGGAAAAACTTAGGCGAAATGGCTTCAGTTTTTAAGTACAGCTGAAGAATGCATCCGGGTAAACAAAGCGTTGTAGCCAACGCTACACACGCTGGGTGTATTTGGGTCGAGTTAGTAGGGCCTTCCGCGTGCACGCTAAACACGTGGCGACCGCACACGCCTACGAACACCGGGAGTGCCACGCTGGCACCCAACTGCCAATCAGGAGGGCGTTTTCGTTGTGCATTCGTGCACTCTCTCGCAGTTTGTTTTGATCGGGCTGGTCCGCCATCAGGCTGCGTCAATAATATTTCAACTGGTATACAGCACCATAGACAACACTTCCACATCCGCAAGAAGCCTACACAAACGAGAACGACGCGATCCAAACAAAACGAGTACTTTCCAGCATGTGCATGATTCTATTTTATTTTCAAATAAAGTGCTTGAAGCGGGTAATCACACTGACGCATTGGCGCAGTGCACTGAAATCGGCCTAGGTATTTGCCAGGCACTCGGAGGTTGATCTCAAGCGATAAACCGTCAGTGTTTTGAGTTTAGCGCATGAAACGGTGGCAAGCAGAACTCGTACTTCGTAGACCTTTCCACCCACTAATACAGACAGGTTGTCAATTTCAACACAATGCCGTCAACTGTCACTACATGCTTTGATCTCCATCAACTATCGTACAAATAGTTTTAATGCACTATAAATTAGTGGTTAAATTTAGAGACACTCTCAGTTAGAAAACGAAGTGACTATGCATGACCTGGTTACCCAAAATTTTACGTATTACAAAGGCCTCTATGGTTAAAAATATAGTGCCAGAAGAATTTTAATTTACAGAATTTTTCTCAATCCTACTTTTCATGTCGACACAAGAACAGTTGTGGTTTGGTTTAAGATTCGGCTAAGCACTTCGTAGTTTTTTTGCTGCTAGTTAGACGCATAAGCTATTCGGTTTGCCCACCTAAAATTCTCCAGCCAGTCCTCCCGACCAAATTTTGCCAAACTTCTCGACGATACATTAATTGCTTTGTCAGCAACAATTTTAGTCCTGAAAATTCGTTCTGCAGGCCAAAATTGCCCGTGAAAGTTTTAATGGGTTCTGAAGCCAAAGTTTAACATTGACTCTTGATTTAAATTACCCGAATATTGCAATTTTGACTGTGTGAAAAGCAAATCAGGAACGCGCACTTCAGAACTCACTGCATGCGTCAGAATTTATTGACACACGTGTAACACGAAATTCAGCAAGGAAATCATTTCTTTAATCGTCTCTTCTGAAAAATAACAAAAACAAATCACACCAATTCATTTGCTTTCAAGTTCCTCAGTTAAAACTGTAGTTGGCGTCATTGTTTAATGAAAGAAATCTTGATAGAACTTGAAACCAAGTTTGCCCTGGACATTCTGTAGTCTGTAAGAAAACCTAATGGCGTTTGACCAAATCTCTTTTATGGCCCAGAAATTGATTTTAATGTTTAGCCTCAGAAAAATTAAGTTTAAACGTTTGTGAAATTTTGGAAAGATAATCAAAAGAGACCTAACCATCGTATCGTGGTTTTAAGACTTGTTACTAGTCAGTAGGTAGGTTTAAACACTGCAATACTAACTATGGGCCAACGGTCTAAATTTTCAATATCCATGTTTACTTATGCTTAAAAATATCAGATTTTACAATTAGACTTCTCTTAGAACCAGTCAATTTTCAGGTCTATTATTTCTTTTTTTAAGCATTTATTATTGATTTCAGATAGCTGGTGTTGTATGGTGCTAAGATTTGACAGTGCTCGAAATTCAACAGCATTTTTTCCTTCTATCGTACCCAAAATGGCTCCCCATTTTGAATCTGTCGTTTCAGGTAGGTCAAATAGCGAATTAGAGGTAAATTAAATAGGTTAAAGATTTGCTTTTGGACCATTTTTAATGAAAGACCGCTCGTCTTTTGAGAAGTCAAACTAGGGAAAAAATTCTTGGGCCAAATCACGCACTTTCACCTTGAGACAGCACTCGTCTCACACATATTGAAACATTTCCAAACAGCAAGGGTTTCGCTTCAGTGGTATAAAGATAGCTTAAACGAAAAATGCCATAATTTACATCAGTTCATTGGTTTCGCCAGATGGCATTGCTAAATATGTGACTGTGTCTTATTGGCAAACTCAAAACTACTGTACTAAATGTCAGAAAAGAATTGCTACCAAGCATACCAAAAAACGAAATTTTGATATTTACATTATAAAACTTTCACCTCGAAGCATCCACTTATCATTTGGATGAGTAAAAAACAGTCTTTTGACCTCTTCTTTGTACTTCGATGTTGTAAACTTCTTCTAAATAACTCGACAACATTCCTATAAGGTGGATTCTAGAATAAAAACAAGTAAACTTAGTAAACAATGGTAATAAATATAATATTTTCCTTCCATTTACTTCTACGTTGACGTTTATTTGTTCCACTGCTCGTTCTGCTCGTTTGCTTATTACATAGGGCACCGCTTCTCGCGGGATTTAGTCTTGTCTCATGAACAACTAATGCGAATGACGACTTGTCTTTCCCCGTCCTAAACCTCTGATCGCTTAACTGAAAGCCGATTTTCAGGAAGTTGACCTTAATGAGTCACGTTATTAGCAATGATCTCTGGGCATAATGTAGAAAAAAGTGTAAATCACGACAGCTTACAATGAATAGATATTGTTATCACTAAAGAGAAACTATAATGGTGAAAAGATACTGCAATATTTTTGCAATGGGTTTCGGTCAAAATCAAAATTTCGGAGCTAAATTAAACGAATCCTTGGATTGGTGAAATGGTGGGGACTAAAACCCCCTTTTAAGTAACAATCCAACCTTCGTTATCCTGGTACCATAGCTCCAAAAGTAATGCTACCTTTTTCTTGTTATCCGAATGCCAAATAACGCTCGGAGTTACAGTTACTTTCAAGATAATGGTATGGAATAAATTGTAGGGATATTACAACTTGCTGTTCCGACTTAGCCACTGCGTGAACAAGACGACTTGTAATATTGATAAAACATTATTTTGGCCTTTAAGTCAAAAGGTCTTGACGATTTATTTTTGGTACATGGACCCGAGCCAAACATGAGCAACTTCTCTTAGTTTCCCAAAATGGACTGGCGAGCATTTGACATATCTGAAAGGTGGGTAAAGGATGTCAAGTAAAAAAATCGCTGAAGTTTTATTGACCAGAAGAAAGCAGAAGTCTTTAAATGGTTGAAATCGCTCTAAGTTTTGGGCCGGAGTAAACACCTTAACAGAGTGTGTTCTGCAAACCTGACTATTAAGTAACGGAATCACGTCCAACACTTGAAACATTTGGAAATCAATCTAAAGAGAGAGGAAAGGAAAAATTAAATGTTGAATATAAACACTGACTAAGCCGGCCAATGAATTACACAACAACTACTACTACTAACTTGACGTCACATACGTGCTGTGAACACGAATTAAAAAATTTTGAACTGAGCCAATTTCAACAATACTGAATAACTTGAACTCTTTTATAAGCACTTTTCCACATTTTTATAATCGTCATTTTTTATCTGAATAAATTTTGTTGGTTATAGTTTTGATAACTAATGTAGGCTGGAGTCGAATCCAGGGCTTCTCTGTGTTTATGCGTTGCACGATATTAATATTACTTCAGTTTGGCTGAGACCCAGTTGCTACCTGACGAATTTCACTCAACACTCAGGTTATCAAAGCACGTACGAGCATGTTACGTAAATGATCAGTTACCCAATGACGGAGGCTGGCTCGCGTGCGAAAGTGCGTCACCCCCGGTATTGACGTCATCAGCGCGGCCTGTGCAATCGTCGGTGCGCGCGCATGTTCGACCTGTCCGAGAACTTGCGTGCACAGATGGGGCATGCAAAGGGCCTCTCGCCGGTGTGTGTGCGGCGATGACTCCTCAGCAGCCAGGGCCGGGAAAATCGCCTCCCACAGTCCGTACAACCGAAGGGCATTGTGTGGGTAGCTTCATGCAGCCTATCGAAATAGAATAGAGAGGAACAATATTAACCCCGTTGTGGATATTGAAATTTAATTTGACATTCATGTCTGGCGCAGAATCTGCGGCTGGTACCGACAAAGACACTTTGACCGTAGCGACGATAAAAAGGGAAAACCAAGACGTTGTCGAACCATGTCGTAGATTGCGACGAACGGGCTTGGTCACTTCTTGTGAAATATTATGTGCATTTAATAATCCCCACACCGCTTTAATTAATGCCTACACACTGTTAATTAAAAGGCAAAACATCGACCTCGTATATGATGCCTGCCCACTTGAGAAAATTACATTGTAGATGTTGATAGTAGCATTTGTAACTAAATGAAGTCCTTCGGGAGTTCTTAAACCTTAGTTTCACTGTGTACTTTCTCTATATGGCTATCGTCATTTAGGCTGCTTTCAGCTGATGTAGTCTGCCGTGTCAAGGGATCCGGTGAGCCTGTTAGCAAGTGATTAATCTAAGTGCAGCAACTGGTACCACCGTTGCAGCTCTGCGTTGCCTTAAGTATAGGTGCCCTGCCACGATGCGGAACAGTGAACATTTTTTTGTTAGCTTTGGGAGGGAAGACGAATGGACTGCTCATATATGATCTAGACTTGAAGTTGGCGTATTTTGACCACTAAAATGGCATCGGCCAGAGCCACTCTGAAGTTACAGCTTTGTCAGAAGCCTGCATCTGTCCATAAACTGAAGACCGCCTCTGAACCATGCGTCTTTTGGAGCACACCAAAGCTGTCAATTTCTAGAATCTGCGTCCGCGAGTATGAGTCCCGTTCCAGTCTGAGAATGTCCTAGTTACAATTAGAAGACACAGAATAAAACATAAAATCAAACTGACTTTTCGAGGCAGTACAACCTGAGTCCTCCTTTGCCATGTGTTCAGGGATGTGGAATAAATGTTATGAAACATACCGTGTCGAAGACCTAGATGAATAGGTCTTACTGCAGTAGCGACAGGAAAAGGTTTTACCCTTTGATGGTCTGTGGACCGATAGGTCAAGAGGTTGTGGTGAAAAGGAGGAGGGGCTGCGAGGGCGTGTTTCCAGTTCCGTTGAGAGTCCCAGCAAGCGATCGATTGAGAAGGCTGCAGCGTTTGGCGAAAGGTAGGAGGAAGTCAACGTGGAACTACCCAGACCACTGTCTCTGTTTGATGAAGAAGTTGGTTTCTGGTTTTGGATGTTTAAGGGGGTTGATGAAACGAACGTAGGCACTGTAATGTTAAAAAAGCAGCAAATTTTAGTGGTTCCTATTAATCTGGGTAACGATGACCTCTTGAATTATTAATAAATATATTAAGTCAAATTCTTGCCAGTTATTGAACTCGATTGCAATTGCATTATTGGTCAACGTAAAAGCCAACTGATCAATCGAGCACTCAACATTCGAAAATAAAAAGTTCATTTAAAAATCAAGTACTACCGATGAGCATGTAACAAAAAGGAGAAAAGAATGGTTTAAAAGAGGGGAAAACCTTGTCACGTTAGGCCAAATTGCGTTATTTTTGTCGTAAGTAATAATGGAAAGGATTCTGTTTTGGATCATGTCTTTGTTAAACCCAGCATATTTTCCTTGGAAATGAAAGGGCGAAGAACTAATTAATTTTCTGCAGTACGTTTCAGCAAAACATTATGGTGCAATTATTCTTTAGCGAATCAAGGTTAAACTCTTAAATGAATTGTTTTATTTTTAGACATTTTCGAATTACCGGTACCGATATATTTGCTTGGTTTTATTGGGACTTCCAGAAAGCTAAGAAAGTCTACAATCGTGAGTCTAGCACTGATCAATCAATTCGGCCTTTTTTTTAAAACCAGGCTACCTGCGTACAAAATTATGGATCGAATTGCAATCGCTATCTTCCACTTATAAAAAATTACCACTAAGTTATTGTCTCCATGTAAAGACAGCAAGAAGGCCTTAAAATAGGCTGCATAAGCATAAAACACCGGAGGAGTAAAAAATCAGATTTGCCATGCCTTAGGAGTGCCGATTTTGATTTTTGGATTTTACCAGGTACATTCCGATTTTCGACTATTTGGAGGTGATTTTCAACTCTATGATGCATTGGTTTGCAATTTTTTTTCATTACAATCTACTTGGTCACAATGGCATAACTCGGCTGTCTTCCAAATTGCGCCTTCTTACACTTAGCTCTTGTAATTTAATTGCTTCAATACACAAATGTGTGTTCCTTTTAAAAAGAGTTGCCGTTATCATGACTGAAATACACGAGCCCTTAGAAATCTTCAAAGCTGATCCAAGAGATAGAGGTTATTTACCAAGAGAAGCAGTCCCTTACGCTTTACTCAGACGATTCACTAATTAAAAGAATTGACTTCAGGCTTGACAGTATGTGCAGGACAGATCGTGGCTGGTACGCAAACTCTGATCACACCTAGTAACCACACCAGGTTGCAAGGATTGCAACTGCAGAAAGTGTCCGAGCCTAGTCACTGCTTCTAGCACGTCCCTGCCCAATTAGTGAACCATTACGTTTTCTGCAGTAGCATAACCCACATTAGGTGAAAAGTGCTTAAATGAGCTGATAAGGGCAAAGTAGGTATCTACTATTATTTTAATTTAATTTATAAAATGAACAAAGAGAAAAGAGCGGATATTTCTTCAAGGGTGCTTCGGAGGTGTTCTCAAGAATTCCGGTTAGTTAAATTACCGCGACTGAAATTTCAGTTTACCCTTAAGGCTCACCGCAGAAAACCTTAGCACTTATAGCACTACTGAAATATACTACAGACCAACAAGAAAAATCATATCCCAAATAAAATATCTCTGTTTTCCAAAAAATGAGATTGCAAAATAGTTTAAAGAGTGCGGTAATGATCTCAATTTCAAGTCAGTGCTCCAATACCACAGGAATAGTGTCCTAAACGTGCAAGAAATTTATGCATCACAACTATGCTTTTTAGATTACTTTTCATTTTCTGACTTCCGAAAGGTTGACAAATGACCAAATAAGTACAGCGCGATATCTGGAACCAGTGAATACACTTTTCAAATTCATATATGGCATGTAATAATTCATTTTGCATATTTCCATGGTGCCGATGTAACTAATGGCATAATATTTACATTTTACACTCAAAGCTCAGGAGTCCAGTATGGAGAACAATTTTATTCGCCAAAAGAGCTCTACCTATAACCCACACATGCTTCAGCAGCTTATCCTAACGCCATGGGAACGCATAAGTGCACAATGGAGTGGGTAATAGAGGTAGTTGATAAAAGACAATATAAAAAGAATGTAGCAACGTAAAGATTAAATAAAGATTCAACTCACGGGTTCCAGGCAATTCCGGGACAAAACGGTACCAGCTCATGTCAAGGGATGTAGAAATCGGGCTTGTGTTTTCCATGGTTGAAAGAAGTTGAGTGGTTCAGGAACCTGTTCTTCTTTTTATACTTCCCCCATTATCCCACCCCCTCAACACTTGAGGAGAGTTATCATTTATATCAATGTTTCATGTTATCGTGGTTAATCAAAGGTTGTCAGCTCCCCCCCCTTCCTCCTACTCACCGTTGATGTGTTCTATGCTTTTAGTTTGGAAACCCCTCAGACACCTAGTGTGTGTGGGTTCACACTGACAAACGGGTCAGTGGAGGTGGTGACCCCTATGTCTGGGGACTTCAAGGGCCCGATAGCTCTAGCTGCCCCAACTAAGCTGATTTGCGGAGACAATGCTCAGAAATTCGATAGAGTGGGGAGAAATATTCTCCTTTGTTGAACGCCTATACTACACGTTCAAAACACCATTTAGGATTTCGGGAGACCCTAGTCAGTTTTAAATCTGCGTGGTTCTTAATGTGATTTTATAGAAGCATGCTATAAGGCAACATACAATAGTGTACGAGTCAGCTGGAAATTATTTATGGTCTCAAAAAGTTTAAGTTTAGATTTGGACATGCAAATCCATCCTAAATACAGTGTTTTGGCTACTCACCTAAGAACCTACACTGTCAGAAATTCGCAAATCATCACTGTGTATATCACGAGTGTCCGCAACCACTAGATAGAGTCGGTTCAACAACTGGATGAATAACCTGTCGATCACGTACGGGTATTTCTATACATTGCAGTTTATTACGCTTCACAACTGATGGTCGTATCGTCATCAATTTGTCCAGTCGTTTCCGTTGGTTACAAAGTAAGGTGATCCGCTGTTTATTGTCTGACAGAATTCTAACGGGAACTTCAGGTTAAAATAGCAGAAGAATCAAACGTGCATTTGGGAGACAACAACACTGAACTTGTGCGGTATTAAATGTACATTAAATCGCTTAATTTTCGGTGAATTGGAAAAGAGGTTTCATAAATCGAACCAAAATTCTGAATTCTATACGTGTAAAAGAGTAAACAGTTATTGCGCTGACGACAGAAAAGAAGTAAATTGTGTCAAGCATTGCAAAGCAGGTTCATTTAGTGGGTTTATACTGACTATAAAGTTTAGTTCATGTTTTATTTAAGGTTAAAAGGGCTTAATAAGTTGCAATGAGCAACCTACTGCTGCTGCCTTCATATTCTGCTGCTTTGAGCAAGATCCAAACTAAACCCGACCAGTACCTGTCACCAGGACGTTAAGTTATAATAAATTATTAAACCAAAGCGTAGGTTACTTTCATGTAAATTAAAGGATCAGAAATGAAAAAAAACATTAGTCGTTCAGCAGGTTTCAAGGTTTAATTTTTGAATGGAAGGTTATCGGAGATCGACCATTAACTACCACGACCCTACTGTGCCAATAAATTGGTTGACCTCCGCATTACCTGTGGCCTTCCTCTTTTCTGGTCGGATTGTGGCCATCGCAGGGGCAGTGGTGAGCTTTACTCAATCCCCAATATTCAGTACTGTAATCTACACAAAAGGCTCATCACCACGGACCCCAACAATTACTGACTTTAAAGTTCCTGATGTTTGATTAACTCCTACTAGTTACTCCTATTTTGACATGTTTACCTTCGACTACTCCTCTGGAAGGTAATTCCGATCTCGAGGTTAGATCATGTGCACATCGACGTCTCGGGGCACCTTGTCGTAATTGACAGGTTTACGTTCCATTTGAAATTGCGTTGACTGCGCATGCAAGATATTACGACGAAATCAATCACATAGAGGTTGAGTGGCTGATAGATTACTATAATCGCATTTCTTTTCATCGAGGAAACAGTAGAGTATACTTCAAGTAGTCTTTTCCAAATGAACCTCATTGAATGACTCCCTCTTACGTTAACCCAACTGACATGATAGAACTTTTCAGCGTCAAGGGAGGGCCACGTTAATTGCGACTCAGTTGGTTGGACACCTTTAATTCTACTGGGTTTTCGATTAACTGTGCACAAAGACCTAGGTTATTCCTCAGTAAAATATCTCTTGAAGAAGGCTGAAACTTCCTGGAAAATTTCTTTTTGAAATAACCCAACCGTCGTGACCGTAACCGCGTTGGATTGCATTCTGATGCCAAAGTGGAAACCCACCGCAATTACTCTCGCAACAGGCACGCATAATTTTGTTAGACATGACTCAACCCACCTAAAATGGACCTTTGCGGGTCATCAATAAGAAAGAAACAAAGATCTACATCTTCGAGCGTGGTGGAAAGGCAAACGACGTTTACGCTGACCATCCAAGGCTGTCCATGTTGGACACACAGGCAACTTCAAGCAGCAGACCACAGTCGAAGCAAACTGCAACAAGTGGACTGCTACCTTCACACAATCAGGCGGAAGCATGCACTGGCCAGACCGTTACCGTGTCTGACAAGACAGACCGCTTTGATTCAGACGCTTAGATGTGTCACTCAGTAGATTTTTCGTAACCTTATTTCAGAAACCAGCAATTTTCGAAACAATCTTCAATCGACTGTAGAATGTAGATCACACTCCAACCTTCCAGTTTTCCTATTGGGAGTAACAGCTCGTAGATCACTTTCGCTAACGGAAGGGCTGTTGTGACAGTTCACCTCGTTCATCTGCGTTGCCGCGTGTCCAGACACCCTTGGTAATATACCCTACTCGAATAAATTGAATATCTGGTCCGTCCGCCGTGTTTATACGTCCTCATTGGTGCTGCACCTGCCTAAACATATCTCGGGTGTTCGCCTGTGACCTATAGGTTTACACAAGCATATACACAAAAACAACACCAATACAAGGGAGTTGAGCCATCCAGTGAATGATTCCCGTCTCCTTTGGTCTCTTAAACCTTAGAGCAACATGGCCCTTGCAAGAAGCTACCATTTGTTTCCATCAAGTAACAACTGACTGCTATTAAATCTGGTACATTTCAAACACAGAAACCTTCATTCGCCTCACGGTCTGGTCTTCGAAAACTTAAAAATTAACCGCGGTTCTTATACGATACGTTCTGCAAATTTTGGATATATAATGGGACTGCAACTTACGCGCAGTTTTATTTTCTAACTATGGATATTCCATATTAAGAAGTTTGAACTTCATTAAAAAGAATTATGATTTAAACAAAATAAAGAGCCTAAAATACGATCACAACACAAGTAAGAGTACATTATAGGACCAGACAGTCAAAATCCTCTCCATGAATAGTTAATAAATAAGCGAGAAACCTACGGCTTAGGTGTTGAGTCATCAAGAATAATCAATATAACCTGAAAGAAAAGAGGGATCATTGTACCAGTCGAGTAATGTTTATTGTTTAAGCCACAATCATTTCGCGGCATCGAAAATCTTCCAGCAAACCACAAGCACAATAATTTCTGTCGCAGTAGTTTGGGTACTTTGGTTTGCAAATTACAACAAATTTATAATCTAAAAGATAGTTAATTTTTTTGAATTTAGGAATCCATGAACTCCAGAAAATTCTAAACGTCATCCCAGCCAAACATCTAATATTATATATTGCCGCATTTTCTTCGACATATTTCGTACCTAGACTACCATACCTGAAAATAGACGAAAATGCGGATTTTTCACGTCTGAGTTTATATCATATAATATGATTCTACACTGAGTTTCCCCATATTTTGAACCTGTTTCTTGTGGGCCGGGTAAGTAGAGTTTATCACTAAAATCAGGATTTCGTTGTCATCGTTTTTGAGTTCTGAAGCCTGACGAATGCGTAAATCGAAAGCAAACTAGTCGATAATAGTTTGAAGCTATTTCAGCAGAAATTACAATTGTTCCAAAAGTCGATTTTGGATTTTGAAAAACAAGTCCCCTTTCTCAGCGCAATGTTTATAATTACCGAACTCACATCAAGGGTTCGTGTTAATTAGCTGACAAGGGCCAACAGATCTTAATCACTGTTCACGTTGGGTTTGCCAGGTAAAAAGCAACGCCGTCAATGGCACGAACTCTTGCACCCCGAAGGGGGGCGCTGTAGGGGGGACACAGGTCGTCGTGACAAGTGACGCCAGAGCATGTGAAGACTAGCATTAGTCAAAAAATTGTTTACTCTTTAAATTCATAAAATTGTAGGTTAGGGGTTAAATTTTCAATGGATGGCATGGATAAATGCACGGTGCATTGGTGATCATTTTCTTATTCCGCAAAGACGGGGGTTTTTACTACCACGAGTAGCTTAATGAAGAAAATCACACCACTGCACATTATTGACGCTAAGTGCAGAAAGTGCCACTGGCGTGTGTTAAATTCAAATAACAGGTCTCAGAAGGTTGATTTTAGCGGTGTGTCAAATGGTGTCAAAACATGCATGAACGTGAGAATTCACGCACCACTACCAGCTCTCATCAAGAACATTTTTGGTGACTTAATTGTACACTTACCTGTTCCAGGACAAAATCGAGTAATTTTTTATGATGCAACGTGGTCTTCTCATATCGTCATCGGTGTCTTAAAGTCTTGGTTCCCACACATTCGTAGTCCAAGGACAATTGTCTAAGTTATCCGACAACAAGGATCTAGAGAGACATCAAAAATCACTTCAAAGCTTTTAACTGATTCATGATAATAGCTAATTACTAGGCAGGTCAAAACACAAAACCAGTAAATGGTGCTGGAAGTAAGAAACTAAATATAACAAATAATGCACACAAGTTTAAGTAGAAGAGTTATTGGTGTATCAATTGGAATAATCGTGAAAACATTGTGAATCCGGTTAGCTGCGAATTTTCGTATGTTTAATTTTACTTGTAGTACTGTAAGAGTACACTTCTGGAACCCGCAAGGATAGATTTTTCTAATGAATTACTCCAACGTTTAAGACGCTTTCAACCCCACTACTCTTTGGTCTGTTGGCGACCACTGTTTGCATAGCTTGTCAATCCCTTGCACAAAATTTGATCAGCTGACTTGACTGCGGTTGGGTCGAAACCTCAGAATACGCAGGAGAATATTCAGTCACTTTGTAACTC